ATAAACCTCCCAAAGCCTGAGGGTCATTCTGCCCCACACAAACAGAAAACATATCCTGCTATAAAAGTTGTCAGGCAGCCGGATGCGGTGGCTCATGCCTATAATCCCAGCACTTTGGGAGGCTGAGGCGGGTGGATCACTTGAGGTCAGGAGTTCGAGACCAGCCTAGCTCACATGGTAAATCCCCATCTCTACTAAAAATACAAAAAAAAAAAAAAATTAGCTGGGCGTGGTGGTGCGCGCCTGCAATCCCAGTTACTCGGGAGGCTGAGGCAGGAGATTTGCTTGAACCCGGGAGGTGGAGGTTGCAGTGAGCCAAGATTATGCCACTGCACTCCACCCTGAGCCACAGAGTAAGACTCTGTCTCCAAAAAAAAAAAAGGAAAAAAAAGTTCTCAGATGAAAAGAAAGAAGCTTTTCTTTCTTTTTGTTTGTCGTCTTTGTCCTTCCTTAACATGCTACGTTCATCTGAAAGCGATTAGTTTACCTCTTTGGTAAGAATTGATTTTACCACCACAAGTTACTAGCCAATGGGTCACAGAAGACCTTAGGCCAGCCCTGCCCCCAGAACAAACAGTCCTTTGCATGTTCCAGTGGGAGACATGTTTGTCAAGAAAAACATTTTCATAGTAACCTGGAAAGTTCTATGTAAATGTCAACTACCCTGGCTATTGTTGTTTTATTTTCATGATGACTAATACAGAAAGTAAAGCAACTCAGGTTTATCTTATCCCGGAATCCAATATCTCCCAAAATGTGTTTCACAGAACAATTCAGATGTTATTAGGCATTACTGAGAGAAAAGTTCCAAAGTCAGGGCAGTGATTATATAGTCAAATTTTGGGAAATTCTGGATTAAGCAAGGTTAAGCAGGTTTTTCCTGCAGAAACTCAGATCAACTTGTAAGCACTGGTTTCTTCACAAGGAGAGAGTTTCTGTGGTATTTTTAAAAATTACCTGACACACTGAACGTTTTTCTCGTTACATTTATTTCTCAGCCAGTGTATCATGGAACACACCGGAAGACATTTTTCGACCCCACTATGCAATTAATCAAATTTAGCCCCAAATTGCATATTTAGCTATTCTAAGCCTAATATTAACAGTATTTTGCCATGTTTCACCATAGGGTATCACTGATTTTCCATGTGTTTTTCTGTCTAGATACGTTTGATTATCCCTGTGCTAGGGTGCCGTGGGGGCATGTCGAGCTGAGCAGGGGGCAGAGAGGCAGGTGCTGGAGAGGATCACATAGGACATAGGATAAAGGACCTGGTGCCAGCCTAATGCTCTTCCTCCAAGGAACCAAGGCTTGCCATAGTCTTCTGAAACAGGGGCAGCACATGTTATTGGTTTGGAAAAAGTGAACTTCCCTCAGAGAGTGACAGGAGAAAGAAGGAGGCACTGTGGCTCACTGCTCCCCTACAATCTTGCTGTATCCCAGACCTTCTCAGGTCCTACCCTAGGAGGCCCTGAAATGTCCCCCTCTACATCCACTCTTCTAGCTCAATATTAAATTCCTTAAAGGCAGGGTCTAGCTCGTCCCTTTTTCCTCTACCCCATTTCCCCAGAGAAATGGTCCCAACCTTTTAAGAGGTTGAAGTCTTCGATGCAGAAGAGATACCTCTTCCCTCTGGGTCAGGATTGCCCAAATTGGCAAATGAAAATACAAGAAACCCAGTTAAATTTGAATTTCAAATAACAAAGTCTTTTTAGTATAAGTATATTCCAAATATTCCAAGGGATATGCTTATACTATAGAAGGGTTTGTGTTTCTCTGAACTTCACCTCGAACTGGGAGTCCTGTGTTTTACTTGGCAGCTCTATTCTGGGGCCTATGGTGTTTGCTTCTTGGTAGTGCTTCTTTAAAAGAATCCCAGGTGGAAGGAAGGAAGCCATGGGTTCTGTGGTTAGGAAGCAGCAAGGAGAGCTCTGTTCTGACAGCCTCTCCGTGGCCCCTCTGGTGCCATGATGGACGTATTTGCAGCCCCAGCTAGTCCAGGTTGGAGGAAAGGGGCCAAGGAGAGCTCTGACTGGGTGTGGGTTGGGCATGCTCTAGGCCTGGCAAGGAGAGGAACTCTGAAGGTACCAAGAGCATGGACTTCACACTGGGCAAACAGTGAAACAAACAAAGGTCTTCAATTCTGGGAGATCAAATTACAACATGGCAAAGCAGCTTGGGTTTCAACCCCAGCTTTGATCCCAACCTGCAGTGTAGCCCTGGGTCAGAGTTAGCCCAGCTGTTCCTCAGTTTCCTCCCTGTAAAAAGGAGACATTTGTGCCTCCGTCCAGGTAAGATGAAATAGAAGATTACTGAGCAATGTGCCCAGCTCATAGTAAACACTCAAGCCGTGACTGTTATTACTTTCACTACTTCTATTACCTGTGTGACCCTTCGGGTCTCTAAATTCAGCTGTCTCTTTGGTAAAATAAGGTCATCATTACCAACCTAAGGATTAGCTATAAAGACTAAAAATGAATCCCATTTTAATGGGGAAGGGTGGAAGCTATAAATACACAAGCCCTTCCCTGCAGCCAGCACAATGCCCACCTGTCCCCAGGGCCACATGGAAGGGAAAAGGAAATTTGATGTAGGTCTCAATATTCAAGTGCCACCTGCCTGTCCCTTCCAGTACCTGCCAGTCACCTCTGTCCGTGCCTCCCTGGTGCAGCCCACTTGTCCCACAGTCCCTTCCCATCCTTGACTCCCATCAAAACTGACCTTTCCTCACTCGCCTTTATTACAGGAGAGGGGTGGCTCCTGAGATATGAATCATATGCCTCACATAAGTACATAACTGAATAAACACTAGTTCAGGGTCAGCAAACCGTGGTCTGTGGGTCAGCTGGCTGTTCTTATAACTAAAGTTTGGTTGGAACACATATTGCCTGTGGCTACTTTCACACTGCATGGAAAAAATCAGGTCCCTGTGACAGAGATCGTATAGTCTACAAGGTCAAAAAAATTTTCTGTCTGGCCCTGTATGGAAAATGTTTGCCAATTCTTACACTAGTTTACTGTTTCGTGTGTGTGTGTGTAATTCTGATTAATATATAATATATATTTTATTATGTATACATATAGATTTCATTCACTCAACACATTCCGGCTTCAACTGAGCACTCTCTTCCTGCCAGACATGCAATCAAATGCTAGATATATAAAGAATACAGTACCGTTCCTGCCCCTCAAGGAGTCCAGAGATGAAAATAGACACCTAAAGAAACAATTACAAGCAGGCCCAGCTCCTGTTTGGAAGCCAGGGTGTTATAAATGGATGAATGAATGAATTACAACACACAACAAAGTGCAGGAATTGAAGCGCAAGGAAACCCCCACATAACTCCTTAGGTGGGGTCCAAAAAAACCCAATCTTGTAAAATGTGGGATTGTGAGATTGCAACATTAACAAAATGAGCAGAGGGAGCCTGCGTATTTCGTGGGCCAGGAGATTCAGGATTCTAAGAGCCAATCTCCAGTGACACTGTGACAGTATTTATATTCAATCAAGATGTGTTCTTGCGGGATCTTATGGGTTATACAAGACATCAAGGGTATCAAGGAGGGCTTTACGGAGGAGGTGACATTTAAGTGTGGCTTTGATGGAGTCTGCCAGACGAAGAATTTGAGAGAAAAGGAAGGAGTGCTTGGGGAGCCTGTGGTTTAGAGTAGCAATGGTAGAGAGGACTACATGAGAGAAGGCACAAAACATCAGCAACAGTCAGATCACAAGGATGGGGGCTGCCTAGGCCTAAGCTTTAATTTATGCTGATGGCAACAGAGAGGTTCTTAAGGTTTTCTTTTTATTTCCTTTTTTAAAATTAATCTTTCAAATCAGTACATATTCTCATGAGAGTCACCCAGAAGACCAGAGGTTCTGTGTTTGCCTGTGCCTTGGTGGTAAGGAACTTACTTTTTTTTTTTGAAATGGAGTCTCCCTCTGTTGCCCAGGCTGGAATGCAGTGGCCAGATCTCGGCTCACTGCAAGCTCTGCCTCCCGGGTTGATGCCATTCTCATGCCTCAGCCTCCCGAGTAGCTGGGACTACAGGCGCCCGCCACCTCGCCCGGCTAGTTTTTTTTGTATTTTTTAGTAGAGGCGGGGTTTCACCGTGTTAGCCAGGATGGTCTCGATCTCCTGACCTCGTGATCTGCCCGTCTTGGCCTCCCAAAGTGCTGGGATTACAGGCTTGAGCCACCGTGCCCGGCGGAACTTACTTTTATAATGTGGGCTCCTGGCAGGGTCAATAGGGCAGTACCATGGTGAATTTGTCATTCTAGAATGCTGGCTTCAGCACTGCTGGGTACAATGCATTGGAGAGGGCAAGGCCAGCAGTGAGAAGATCAGAGTTGGGTACAGAAGTCCAGGGAAGAGACATGGGGGTCTTCAGATGAGAAGGAAGTTGTAGGGCTAAGTGTGGTTTATGGAGGACAGGAAACTCCAGGAGAGAGGCCAGGTTTGCTGCTCTCAGAAGTAAAAACCTGAAAACAAGAAAGGCCCTGGAGATTGAGCAGTTAAAGCTCAGAGAGGTAAACCCAGCTAGGCCAGTGGAATAACTTACATGAATAGATCACTGGGAGTTGTTCTCAATCTCAGCTTTTCATTCTCCTGGAGCAGCCCAGGCTCTATTTCTCATATTATGATTCAGTAGGTTTAGGGATAGGGTCTAAGCATCAGTATCTTTATAAAACTTTCCACATGACCATGATGCTGAAGGTTGCAAAATCACAAACGTGAGTAGAGAGAATAGGCTTATGGCGGAGGGCTTCCACCTGACAATGGTTAGGGCAAAGCCCAGCAGGGTGGGGGCCGCTGACTAGTTGTGGGTAGCATCCTCTATCTGATGCCCTGGCACCCTTGCCTCTGTTTGATTAACAGGTAGCAGGAAATATACAGGACCAACCTAGAGGTCAACTTGCCTGGTTGTCACCCCAAATCCTCTCCCTGAGGAGAATACATGTGAATTCCTTGTGAGAATGTTTCAAGGTACACTAGTCACCATGGACTTCCTGTGGAATGGTCAGTGCAAGAATGGCCTAGTGCAGGCAGAAATGTGGAATCCCAGGCAGTGATGTGAAAACCTGCCTCTGTCCCTGGAGTGAGCTGTGTGGCCTTGGATAAATGCTTCAACATCTCTGGCAACCATGCTTATCTCAACAAGGGATGATAATAGCACCTCTCTCGATACGTTGTTGGGAGGATTGAATAAGATCACTAAGTCTCTCAGTAAACTTTTATGAAGGTATTATTATACATCAGGCACTGTTCTGGGAACTGAGAAATAGCATTGAACAAAAAAGACCAAAAAATGCCTGTCCTTATGGAGCTGACACTGTCGCAAGGTGAGACAAATAATAAACAAATGGATGTATCAAGCAAAAATATATATCATATGTAGTATATGATGTATATTAACTTTATATATGACATATATAAAATGTATAATTATATATCTCATGTATAATAAAATATAAATATATATCAGTTGAGTGGAGAGGAAATGGAGACAGCAAGTATAGAAAACTCTTTGGGGATGGAAATACATGAAAAGCACTTAACATTAAGGATAGCACAGAGTAAGTATGCAATGAATTATGTTTAAAAGGCCAAACCGCTAAAAATAAGGGAGTTATAAAGATTAAATAAGCTAATATATGATGTAGAAGTGCCTAGCACAGATCCGGGACTCAAAAAAGAGTAGTTCCTATTCCTCCCTCCCCGATCCTGCCCACTGCCCCCAGATCACACACATATGGACACACCTACACAGGCATCACCTTCTCTTCTTTCCATGCTGAGGATTGTGGGAAGACTAAATCCTTCTCCCTGAATTCTTCTTCCCAACTAGCCTACCACTTGGTATCAATCATATGGCCATGGAGATGAAACAAGTTACTTGATGGAAGATAAGAAATCAAAACATATGGAGGGTGCTTGTCCAGAGAGCGTAAATGACTCTTCATTATAATATGGGAACCAAAGTCTCAAATTAAAAATAAAAGAAGGCATGGTGTAGCTTTTGCTGCACTTCAACCACAGAGGAGATTCATTGTCATACAGTCACTGAGAATATTATGTTGATTGGCAAGAGTCAGGCTTTGTAGAAGGGACAAAAATTCCCCACAGCTAATCTACAATGAAATTGTTCAATGTCAGGCACTGCTTTAATAATATTGTTCTGGGCTGTGCTGGATGTAAATATCTCCCTCTTCATTTTGTAAGCAATCAAAGGGAAGCTTTATAGATGGGAGAACATGAACGGTTATAGTGTCTGTGCTAAAAAATACACGGACATTCTAAAAAAAAATCAAAGAACACGGTACCTTAGAAAGGATTGGCTTTGTAGCTTATCTCCAATCTCCTATGTCTGTCCAGCAAGTTGCGCATTAGACACATAACAAAAGACCACACTTTAAATGTTGCCCTTGACATTATTAAAAAGTACAGGATTGGCAAATCAGACTGAGAAAAAAAATCAGACTGTTAAATCTGGACAGGCAGGTAATCTCTCTTCATCTTATTGCAGTGCCTAGAATGATGAAGGGAGTAAGAGGACTCTTGTTTATTAAGCACCCACTATGTGCTTGGATGCTTTGCCTCTGTCAGAAGCAATCTCATATTCCAGAGTGCTGAACAATGGAGGCTGAACAAGAAAGACCAATGTCCTCAGCCTAGCTCTGCGATTTTCTAGTTGTGTGGCCTTGGGCAAGCAAGTGAATGAAGCTCTCTGTGCCTGTTTTTTTTGTTTTTGTTTTTGTTTTCACCAGTAAAATGAGGATACTACATATCCCACAAGATAAAGTGCCTAGTATGTTTCAGGTCCTGGACTAAAAGTTTATTTTACTTTTAGTCCAGGACCTGAAACATACTTGGCACTCAGGGGTAGGTATTATAAGGTGAATTTTAATCTGCACAACAGCCCTGGGATGAACTGAATTGTGTCCCCCTAAAAGCTATGTTGAAGACTTAACCCCCAGTACCTGTGAATATGACCTCATTTGGAACAGGGTCTTTGCAGATGATTAAGTTAGGATGAGGTCATTAGGATATACCCTATCCAATATGAGTGGTGTCCTTATAAAAAGGGGACATTCAGACACAGAAACAAAGCAAGAGAACACCATGTGAAGACAGAGGATTGGAATGACGCATCTGCAAGCCAAGGAACAGCAAAATTTGCCAGCAAACCACCAGAGGCTAGGAAGAGAAAAGGAAGGATTCCCCTACAGGTTTCAAAGAGATCATGGCTCTGCTGACACCTTGATTTTAAACTTTTAGCCTTCATAACTGAGAAAATAAGTTTCTGTTGTTTTCGGCCACCTAGTTTGTGGTGCTTTGTTACAGCAGTCCTAGCAAACAAAAACACCCTTACATGATGAAAAAGTATCGCCATTTTCATGAGAATTGAAGGCCAGTGAAAGTTTATGGCTCAAGATTGCACAGCCAGATCTGGGATTTGAACCCAGGTCTCTCTGAGCCTAAAGTCTGCCCTTTCTCCATTCACTGTGGGACCTCTCAGGAGTGGAGCGTGGCATAAAAAAGCAGGTGGGGTTGGAAATGAGCCCCATTCATTACACCCAGGTCCCAATGGAAGCGTCAGGTCAGAGTGGTCTGATTATGAACAGCTCATTAAGTAAAGAGCAGTGAGCGTTTGAGAGTGACTTTTTAAGAAGAATCGACTTTTATTTATAGTGACGTTCCAGTCATTAATTTCAAAGGAAGAAAGCCCAAAGCAGAAGCAGGTTCATTAAAAATTTGACATTAGTAATTTAATTAAATTGGGTCTTTGCATCTCATTGGGGAAAATGAAACGTTAGTTCTACACCAGTTCTCAGCTCATTTCCCCTAGTTGGCTCCCTCCCCTCACCTTAGCTTGCTTTTTTCTCCAAATGTTTACCTGACCTGTCCTTCCCACCCCCAACACTCATAAACATGCACACATCACAGTTATTGCCTCTGCTGTAAGCCAGCTGCATGGGATTATGGGAAACGCCAAGTGAACCAGCAGCAGGGCATCATGGGAAATGCCAAGTGAACCAGCAGCAGGGGACTGATCATAGAATATGCTAAATAAGCCAGGAGCATGGGATCATGGGATACACCAAGTAAGCCAGCTGCAGGGGATCATGGGAAATACCAAGTAAGCCAGTAGTGTAAGATCATGGGAAATGTTAAGTAAGCCAGCAACAGTACAGGATCATGGGAAACACCAAGTAAGCCAGCAGCAAGAGATCATGGAAAGTACCAACTAAGCCAGCAGCATGGGATCATGGGAAATGCCAAGTAAACCAGTAGCAGGGGATCATGGGAAATGCCAAGTAAGCCAGCAGCAGGACAGGATCATGGGAAACACCAAGTAACTCAGCAGTAGGGGATCATGGGAAGTACCAAGTAAGCCAACAGCAGGAGATCATGGGAAATGCCAAGTAAGCCAGCAACAGGAAATCATAGGAAATGCCAAGTGGCAGGGGATCATGAGAAATGCCAAGTAAGCCAGCACTGTGGGATCATGGGAAAAGCCAAGTAAGCCAGCAGCAGGGGATCATGTGAAATGCCAAGTAAGCCAGCACTGTGGGATCATGGGAAATACCAAGTAATCCAGCAGCAGTACAGGATCATGGGAAACACCAGGTAAGTCAGCAGCAGGAGATCATGGGAAGTACCAAGTAAGCCAACAGCAGGGGATCATGGGAAATGCCAAGTAAGCCAGGAACATGGGATCATGGGAAATGCCAAGTAAGCCAGCAACATGGGATCATAGGGAATGCCAAGTAAACCAGCAGCAGGGGATCATGGGAAATGCCAAGTAAGCCAGCAGTGTGAGATCATGGGAAATACCAAGTAAGCCAGCAACATGGGATCATGGGAAATGCCAAGTAAGCCAGCAGCAGGGGATCATGGGAAATGCCAAGTAAGCCAGCAGTAATACAGGATCATGGGAAACACCAAGCAAGCCAGCAGCAAGGGAATATGATAAATGCTAAGTAAGCCAGCAACACAGGATCATGGGAAATGCTAAGTAAACTAGCAGTGTGGGATCATGGGAAATGCTAAGCTGGGCCAATGGACAGGGCAGTAGAGATAAATCTTTTCATCTAGGTCATCTCGCTTGTCACAGGTAAAGAATGGGCAAGGGAGAGCTCTTCAGTCTTAAAGATTCACTCTCACAAAAGTATAAGCCTCTGAGGGCTGGCCCCACTGTGCCAAGCACAGAAAGCCCATGATGAATTTTGTTGCATGAAGGAATTAATACATGAATGAGTAACTCCCCAAATAACTAATTAATGAACATGCACATATGTCCCTATAAGTGCAGGCACTGTGCTAGTCTCCCAGGATATACCTGTGAACCAGACTAGGCCCATGCCCTCATGGCCCTGTGGCCCAATGGAATGAGAACATCTGCCATTTTGTGAGCACCTACTATGTTCTGGGCATTGTGCCAGGCGTGCGGCATTCATATTGGTAACCCCCTCAACCACTGAATATTTTTGGCCTCACTCCTTTCTCAGTTGAAGAAACTAAGGCTCAGAGAGTTCATGTGGCTCAAAGTCACACAGAATAAGACACGATGGCACCTGGTTTCACACCCAGATCAGGCTGGTTCCAAAGTCTACCGTTACCCTCTACACTGAACTGCTTCCTCTCAGAAGAGGGAGAGAGGAACAGGGAGGGAATACCTTTTTTCAGAGGGTTCTGAGATCATCAGGGCTGGTAGAGAGGGTTCTGGAAAGAGATACTAACAGCAACATTGGCAGAAAGGGGGTATTGCAAGGACTAGGGGAGCCATTTAGAATCCAGACCTGCCCACTTCCACTTCCCCATCACTGCCACCCCACTCTTTTACTCCAGGCTCCCTCAGCTCCTGGGTTATCTCTGGCCTCAGGGCCTTCATGCTGTTTGCTCTTTTTTGTTTAGCTAAGTCTTACTAATCTCCCAGGGTTCTGCAGAGTTGTCACTTCCTCCAGGAAGTGATCTCTGACCTCTCCCCCAGCTGGGTTTAGTTCCCTACCTGTCCCTGTCCCATCATAACACTTAGTATGCCATTAATTGTGCACATCACCCGCCGGACTGAGACTTAGATTCATTTGTGTTGTACTCACTGTACATCAGGCTCTGTCCTAAGCACTTTGCATACCTCAACTGGCTTAATCCTTGCAACAATTAATTTGATATAAGGAAGGTGCTGTTGAGCTCCCTATCTTACAAATGAGGAAACCGAAGTGCAAAAAGGTTAAAAGACTTGCTCACGGTCCCACGAGTGGTAAGATGTCAGGCTGGGAAGTGAACCCAAGCACAGTGGCTTCCAAGTCTGCACTTTCCACTGTCTGGCTGCATGGCCTCTCAGAGAGAGCCTCAATAAATCATTGCCAGGTGGATTAATGGAGAGGTACTTAAACGGTAGTCTGGGCATGACTAAGACCCCTACTCCTCACCCCATGGGGGTATCCTAGAATGATAGGAAGTGTTGACCTTTAAGGCACAGGCAGTTCCAACTCTGGGGGACAAGGCAGAGGGCAGGGGGAGCTGGGTCAGGTGGGACAGGGGACTGACTTATGGGCACAGAGAAGCTGTATCCTCCTCCCTCCTTATTGCCAGGTCGTGGTGCTCTTGCATCTTCCCCAAGACTATTTCCTCTGCCTCATGAGAGCACACTTGCAGGTGACCATGATTGCTTGACTCTGGCCACACACTGTGCATGGTGTTCCCTGGCTCCCAATTTTCCCCCTTTAAACCAGTCAGGCTGATGAGAACCCAGGCTCTTTTCTTCCCACTTCACTGCCTATTCTGCCTAATCCAACCCTTTCAACTCCCCTGAACCTGCGGGGCCAAAGTGCCCCTCTGGCTGCCAGGGTGGATCACACATGAAAGAAAGGACACTGGATTTAATGAGCACCTACTCTTATGCCATGCCTTATGTCCCTTCTATGGTATTTAGTGAGAAGGAGTGTGGAGTCTGAAATCAGGCCAGCCATGCCCAAGAGATTAAAGTGATATTCCTGGGATTGCATCTCTAGTGATCAGGATGGACATAATTCACATCCATGGCTGCACATTAGAAAAGGCAAGAAACCTGGACGTCCAGTTGTAAATCTCATGTGTGAGATTTTGAGTAACCCCTCTCTCTTCTGAGTAACCCATTCTCAGGGAATCCACAGCCTTGAGAAGCGGGCAGATCAGCAGTGGGCAATGCTGTTCACAGAAGAAATGAGTTCCAGGAAGCCCAAGTGACCTAGGGAGATGCTACTAGAAAACCCGGCAGGGCTCCAGCCCAACTCACAGGCTACCTATCTCTTTCTCTGTCTCTCCTCACAGTTCTCCCCAGCCACACATGTGGCAACCCAGGGAGGCTGCCCAATGGCATCCAGCAGGGCTCAACCTTCAACCTCGGTGACAAGGTCCGCTACAGCTGCAACCCTGGCTTCTTCCTGGAGGGCCACGCCGTGCTCACCTGCCACGCTGGCTCTGAGAACAGCGCCACATGGGACTTCCCCTTGCCTTCCTGCAGAGGTAAGTGGCCAGAGAGGGGTCTGACGGAGTGGGGCGGTGGCTGGAAGGGGATGCTAGAGCTTCCAGTGACATCCAGTCTCGAAGGGGAAAGCTACACCCCAGCAGGGAGGGAGGTGCCCAAGTCTGGACAGCACAGAGAGTCTTCAGGGGCCCCAGGTGTTCTAGGGGTGTTTCAGCCTCACCTGACCTCCTCACCCTCAGGTGTGCACTCCCTCATTTTTTCTCCTGCATCAACAAAATTATATGTAGCTAGTCTTCCCTCACCTCTAGCCCTCCTGTCTCAGAAGAAACATCATTTCTCCTCCTATTGCAGACCCTCTCTCCTCTTGTGGAAGCCAGATCACTTTCCCAACAGCTTTCGTACTGACCTCACTGTAGGAATTATTCTTTTCTCTTTCCTATAAATTCAGCCTCTCTCCCTATCTAATAGTTTCTTCCTCTCAGCTTCCAAATATGCTCAAAAGTTCTTTTCTCCAAGAACCCCCTCCCCTAGAAAAACACCTCTCGTCTATGCCTCAGCCTCCCAGCTAGGATGACCAACTTGTCCATATTTGCGTAGGACCTTCCGACTTTCAGTCCTGAAAGTTCCGCATCCTGGAAACCCTCTCAGTTTCAGGCAACAGAGACATTTGTCACCCTACTCCCAGCCTATTCCTTACACAATCTTTTTTTTTCCCTTCCTTTTCTTTTCTTTTTTCTTTTTTCTTTTTCTTTTTCTTTTCTTTCTTTCTTTTTTTTTTTTTTTTTTATTTGAGACAGGATCTTCCTCTGTCCTCCGTGCTAGAGTGCAGTGACATAATCATGGCTCACTGCAGCCTCAAACTCCTGGGATCAAGCGATCCTCCTGCCTTAGCCTCTGGAGTTGCGGGGACCACAGGCATGTATTACCATGCCCGGCTAATTTTTGTTGTTGTTGTTGTTGTTTTCATGGAGACATAGTCTCTCTATGTTGCCCAGGCTGGTCTTGAACTCCTGAGCTCAAATAATCCTCAGGCCTTGGCATCCCAAAGTGCTGAGATTATAGGCATAAGCCACCATACCTGGCACGTGATCATTTTTAAACGCTTAGGAAACACAGAAGGAAATAAAGAAGAAAGAAAATTTACCTGTTTTAACCATGATTTTAATGTATTTCATTTCCATCTTCTTCCATACATATTGCACATAAGCGTATGTTACAAATATGTACGTAAATTGAGATTATGATGCATGCAGACAATTTTTAGCCACCTTTGAAAAACAATCACATCACACTGTAAGATTTCCCATGCCATCCACATAGCTCAGCATCTTGGAAGCTCCATCCAGCCCTGTCCCTCCTTTTCCCTTCTCATTTGCTCCTCTGCAGACTGGCCTTTGCCCTCAGTATTTGCATCATTTTGCCAAATCAGATGGGAATTGTTTTGGCTTATATTTCTTGACCTCTTAAGAAACCTTTGCACTATTGACCACTCTTTTCTTCTAGTAACGCTCATCTCTAAATTCCATGGATCCTGAACATCCATATATCAGTCTAGGAGGAACATTTCCAGGAGTTGAGAAGTCATTGGAATAAGTAGGTCCTCCTTAGTTCAAGTTTTACTTTTCTTTTGGAGGAAGGTTTTCTGTAATTACTATAATAGGCTAGCTCCAGGGATAAGCAACTCCCTCTTCCTGCCACATGCACACACTTTTTGTTATTGACACCAAGGATAAAAATTACATGGCGTGTATACCTATTTCCCTTCTTCCCACTCCCATGGCGGACATAATTGGTCATTGCACCCTTTCTGCTTGAGTCCAGACACAGCTGTGAATTCCCTCCCAATAGGCAAGCCACAGCCAATCAATCTGAGTCGCCACTTGACTTCACCTTTGTTTACCTCTCCTCAACCAATAGAATGGGCCTTGGCCATGTTGAGCCTTCTTGGTGGAGGGCAAGGGAACTAGAGTTCCCTTTCCTGATTTCCTAAGTCCCACCTTCCCAGGCTCCATTCCTAACTCAGGGCCTGCCTCTTTCCATGATTGACTTCAGGAATTACCAAACCAATCAGGTGAGACCTTGGCCCCTACACACAGGTGTGTGGCCTAACCACAGCCTGAAAGCTGCTGTATCTGCCCTTTCTTATAGCATCCTTACCCACCCCCGCCTTGAGGAAGTTACAGTTAACATTCTGATCTTCCAAGGAGGGTGTCAGAGTTGTGAAATGACGATAGAACTGACATATGATAGTAAATAAAATCAAGTGTCTAAGTTATGAACTATAAACTGCAGTTCTTTTTCTTTTTGCAGCACTGTAAATGTCATGCTATTTTGTTCAAGATAAAATCCAAAAACAAATGTAATCCAATTATCGGATGCAGTGAGGGTATCACTCTGCTTAGTGAAGTATAAGTTGCAGCAATATCCCATGCTAATATGGTGGAAATCCACTAACCCTCCGAATATCTCCAGGAATCTGTCAGCTTTAGCTTCCTCTGAACCTTGAATTCACTACCATGTCTCCCTTCCCCTGGTTCTGCTCTGCCAACTTAGGTTGGGAACTGGGTCCATTTTTCTTGGATCCCCCACTTCTCCAAACGACAAGATACAAGCCAACAACCAAAAACACCAATGAAGGCATCTGCACGTAGTTCAGGCTTTATGGAAGGTGTGGCAATGCAAGGAGCTTACATCTTAGCAATGCAGATGACTTAAAATGAAAGTATGAGCAACCAGGAGCCTCACAGTCTTTTGGCCCCTCCTCCCGGGAAGCTTCTTCCTGGCTTCTGTCTTGGCAGACTCCAGGTTCCCTGTAATGTGCATTGTACCCTCTCTTCTTTCTCCAGACTCTTCCACCTTGGTGCCACCTGCACCTTGAGCCCATTTCAGAATTTCCGTCATCCTCTTAGGCACAAGAGCCTGATTTCCTCTTGGTTTTGTCATCTCCTTGGAGTCTAATGTCTCCCCTCCTCATCCAAGCTATTTAGGTATAGGGTAGTATTTTCCTGAACAAAGAGAACTCTCATTCTATAAGAAACTCTGGGGCTGGATGTTAACATATCTTTGTGTTACCCCATCAGCCAGAGATAAGTGATGATGAGGGGCACCTCATGGCAGTCTTCTACCTCTTGGGGGTCTTCTAGGTCTGACCAAGTCTCACAACCCAGTGTCCTTGTGTCCAGGCCCAGCAGGCAGCAAGGGCTGGCCTTTCTGTGGGAAGGAGCAGGATGGAGAGATACCACTCTTCTAGCATTCACACCACACAGAAATTCATGGGCCTGGGCGGAGGTGGCATGTCTTTTGGTGGCACGACTCTCTGAAGTCTTCCAGTTCTTTTTTCGTCTTCTGAAATGATGATGATTCTTTCCCTCCTTCTCCTTCACTGACTTTCCACCCTCTTTCCCCTTAAATACGGGAGGGCCAAGCGTGGCCTCTTCTCTGGGGACTTCTTCTATCTCTTGGAATTTCTCATCTACTATGTTGCTGTAATTGTTACTAGGGGGCAACTCTCCAATCCCCACCTCTAACCCCATTCTCTGTCCTGAGCTTCAGGTCCGTGTGGATAGTGAACTGTGCTGAAGTTCTCCTCAGCTTGTGTTTCAAACTTGGCCCATGAAAACCTCTCTCTTCCTGCTTTCCCCAAACCTGCTCTTTTTGCTGTCTTCTCCAGCTCAGTGAAGAGTGTCCCCACCAACAGTGGCCAAGCCGGACCCCTCAGGGCATCTTACACTCTTGCTTTTCTTGCTGTTCACATCGCTTCATTGGCCCCCATGTCCCGCTGCACCAGCCCACTCCCTCCACATCTCTGTTGCTCTTCAGATGGTGGTCCAGGCCCTCTTGTCTCTCACTTGCCTCACTGAAGGTTGACCCTCTGTAGGCAGGTGTGCCCCTGTTCTCTCCTGCTCACACCAGCCCATTCCTACCTGTATTGCTAGGGAGAACTTTCTAAGGCACAGATCTGACAAAACTAAGCGGCTCAGTCTCTTAGTAGCTCTTCATCACTGACAGGGTCTAGTTCAGATTCCTTAGCATGGAGCACAAGGCTCTTCCAGAAAGAGTCCCACCCCAATCTTTCTAGTCTGTCTCTTAGACTTATTTTAAGTAGGTTCCGCTTTAGCCACACCAGAGAATGCTCCCTTCCAAACGCCCTAGGGAAGCCAGCTGAGGATGTCAAGTCCTGCTTCCAGAAGGGCTTCCAGCCCCCTGCTGCCTGAGGGGACTGAGATGTGGTTCTGCTCAAAGGCTGGGAGAGAATAAAATGGCTCTCCTACTCTCAGACACCCTAGGGCCTCCCCCCACCCCCAGCCACCTCCCTACTTTCAGGTTCATCTCTCTATTCTAATTCCCACAGGCTACAAGAATATCCTAAGAAACATCCTCAATAATGTCAGTGGTTTTACGAAAGTGATTTCCCAAACCCTTCTTCCTTAGGAGGCCAAGCTAAACAGGAACAAAGAGTACCCACCATACACCCATCCTGTGCCAGCAGCGGTGGTCATGCCAGAGTGAATGGGTTCATACTTGGGAAGCATTAAAAGCCTTTTGGCCTTTCTTCCTCTCATGTAGAACTCTCAAGAGCTGGCATCTGCGAGCGGATAAACCTCATCCACTGGGCAGTGGTCCGTAAATATTTGCTGAATGAAAGGCTGTCTGGATGGGTCTAATTCACCATCAGAATCGTGCTGGCATACAAGCCCGAAAGAGAAATTACTAGCCTGGGTTACCCCACCTGCCCAGTAGCTCTGAATGACAATCTCTTTAAGTCCAAAGCTTCCCAGAGCAGACTGGAGAGTCGTATGTGTCTGTTTTATCTAGGAAATGTCATGTGCCCAGCTGGAGGGTGGACTTGGTCTGGGGACACAGCACAGACTAGGAGTGGGGGGAATAAGGAACAGCTGGGAATAGAAGGGAGCAGGTGTGAGGCCAACCCCCAAGGAGACCCATCCCAAAGATCCTGACCCATCAGGACTCGGTCCAGCTGACAGAGGGAAGGTGGGGCCTGTGACCTCCCTTCACTTTGTGTCACACCGGGCACATT